GGCCGATGGGGATGGACCAGCCTACGCCACTGCTCACCATTCATGGCCTCACTCGTCAAGCCTCTCTCTAATTATTTCCCTCCTCCCTCTTCAATCAAGAATCAAGACTGGGTGTGAGGATTATGTTTGGTAGTACTACCCCGCGTGGTGGCGTAAACATACAAGAAGATCGGGCGGACGCAAGTGGGAGTGGAGTCGAAGCACGGGCTCGTGTGGGGATTCGGTGGGCCCGTGCTCCAAGGTATCAACCTCGGGATTGCTTAACAAAAAAGGTCTGTCTAGGACACATCTAAGCTGATAGTTATGTCACATCTAAGCAGATTTTCATTTTGTTTGTGGTCCATTTTTTGTCATTGTTTTTTTTTGTTTCTTTGTTGCTCCATTATATATTTGTGGGAGGTTAGATGTGATATCCTTAAGAAACATCTAGATGTGAATTAGACAAACCGTAACAAAAAATGAACCCTCAAAAATTGCCCATTAAACTATTGCAAAGGTCGGTCCTACTGATCGACTGATCCATTGTTGTTACAAGGAGGACCAGTTTGTTTGCCACCTATTTTTCGAGAGAAAAGTGGAGCTTTATTTTAGAAATTATTACGGTGTTGAGATCAAGAAGCAAGAAGCAAAAGAGGTTCCATGCATGAGGGTCCTTTGGTTGAGCCACACGGCCGTGGCACGGCCCGCACGACCATATTCCGCTAAACAAGATTTGTGAAATTTGCTAAGCTACGATAGTCTAAAGAAAACACTCCCACAGTACTATTTAGAGTACAGTGCTACATGGTACTCCTGCTGTTTAACACTAATTGCCTAGTAGCTCAATGCTATTTATTAGGGTTATGATGATGTCTAGACTAATTTAGACTTCTTTTATTCATGGAAAAAGGCAACAGTCGCGGACCACTTGTGTCCGCTCAAGATAAAGACTTGTGATCAGGGTTTAACATTTTTTTCTACAGCATCATATTGGTCTCCAGCGCGTAGCATACCTTTTCTTTTTACTTGTGATGACACCGCCAACTATAGAATACTTATGTCCAAAGGGGGGAAATCCGGAAATGTTAATGCTGGATTGACCAAGAATTTTCTAAAATTAAATGACGAATGGCCTTTTCAAGGTTTACGTTTGAAATTGATTGTTTTCTCTTGTTGCTTTCTATCGCTTGTTCAAGATCCTAGACCTCATTTGCTAGTTAATTTTAATGGTACCATCTTCCGCTGATTATAAATCAAAATGCACCCTGATCGCAAAACGGCATGCAAAAAAAATAAAGAGGGGAAATGGGACGCAAATTGAGTTGGAGACACATCTATGAATCGCACCCCTTCACTCCCAATGCACAGGGAGACTCATACACCTTCGTTCCACCCAACCTAAGGTTTCCGTTGCCTCTCGCCGCGCAGCTGTCGGGCTGCCTCGTCTCATGTGGCCTTATGGCAATAAAGGCGTGGTAGATCCCTATCCTTGCCAGCGGGAGGGCTATGCTTTTAGTTTTAGTAGGACTTGTGCTCTGCTTAGAAAGACGAGCCGGCAAGAGGTAGGCTCTGTTTTTAGGTATTTCTTTTACTTCTGGTAGGATTTGTATCTTTCTCAGAAAGACAAGGCAACGAGCGGAAGCGCTCTGCTATTAGGTGTTTCTTTTAGTTTTGGTAGGGCATGTATCCTGCTCAGATAGACAAAGCGGCGAGCCGGAGGGCTTTTTTTTAGGTGTTTATTTTGGTGTTGGTAGGGCATGTGTCCTGCTTATAAAGACGAGGCGACGAGCGGGACGGCGCTGTTCTTGGATGTTTCTTTTAGTTTTAGTAGGCCTTGTGTTCTGCTCAGAAAGACGAGGGGCGAGCGGCTGGGGATCTATTGGAGAGGACTCTGTCTTTAGGTGTTTCCTTTAGTGTTTGTAGGGCTTATGTCCTGCTCAGAAAAACCATCCGGCCAACACTAGGGCTCTGTTTTTAGTTCTTTCTTTTAGTTTTGGTAGGGCTTCTGTCCTGCGTAGAAAGGCGAGGCGGCGAGCGGGAGGGCTTTGTTTTTAGGTGTTTCTTTTAGCGTTGGTAGGGCTTTCGCCGTGCTCAGACAGACGAGGGGCGGGCGGCGGGGGATCTATTTTTAGTTGTTTTTAGTGTTGGTAGGGCTCATGTCCTATTCAGAAAGACGAGATGGCGAGGAAGAGGACTCTGTTATTACGTGTTTCTTTTAGTGTTTGTAGCGCTTGTGTCCTGCTCAGTAAGATGAGGCGACGAGGGGGAGGGCTTAATTTTTAGGTATTTTTTTTACTGTTGGTAGGTTTGTGTTCTACTCAGAAAGATAAGGCGGCGAGTGGGAGGGCTCTATTTTTAGGGGCTTCTTTTAATTTTGGTAGAGCTTCTGTCCTGATCAGAAAGACGAGGGCTTTGTTTTTAAGTGTTTCTTTTAGTGTTGGTAGGGCTTGTGTCCTGCTCATAAAGACGATGCGACGAGCGGGAGGACTCTATTTTTACGTGTTTCTTTTAGTGTTGACATGGCTTATGTCCTCCTCAGAACGACGAGGTGGCGACCGGAAGGGTTTTGTTTTTAGGTGTGTCGTTTAGTGTTAGTAGGTCTCGTGTCCTGCTTAGAAAGACAAAGGGCAAGCACGAGGGGAGGGGCGCTCTGTTTTTAGTTTTCTTTAATATTTGACAAAAACCAACCAGTTTTGGGGTTGGCATCCCACTGGACTACTACTTTCAAAATTTTGACAAAAACTACCTTTTTTTAATTCGTCCACACAAACTACATCTTTTGTTTGATGACCGTTTAGAGGATTAAAATGTGTTTATGACATATGGGACCCACTTCTCAGGGCGGCAAAGTCAACTCTTTTTATTTTGTCTCCCTGAGGGTGGAATGAGATTCTTTCCGTCTTTCGCATCGTTGGAGTGTGTGCCCTTCGAGATACCGAGCCGACATCACATCTTAAGGTTGATGAATTCATCATTGGCGTCTCATAGTCGACGAAAACGCCTTCTCATACGGAACAGACATCGTCAAAAGCCTAAATAAACTTGAAAAAATGTGAGCATCGGTGTTAAGTCTAGGATTTGAAACGAGATGGGCTAGTTGGCGACTATCATGACAGTTGAAGACACGTTTACCAGATGCGACTGCCCGGGCCTGATCGAGCCTAGCCGGTGCCCACGTCCAACCGATTTGGACTGTCGAACCAGTCCCCTCAATCGCGCGCACACACAAAAAAAGGACCGTCGAACCAGTTTAACCATTTCACAGCGCACAACGAGAAGCAATGAATAGATTCGCGAGGAACCAAACCAATCAATTCTGAAAGGCAACAATCGCTTCAGCAGTTCACCTATCAGAGTACGTAGCGCTAGCTAGCACTTGAATGCGTGGATCGCCTGCGCACGCACCGACCGCGGTAATTTATGGAGACCAATTAAGGCCAACTCCACCGCGTGATTCCATCCTATCCGGCCCTGTCCGTTTGGGCTACAGGGACAAAGGAGGAGCCCAGCGCGCGACGGTCCGGACCCATCTTATCCGTTTTGTGTCCGGACCGACCCATTTTGAGCGCAAACTTGCGCCGGGTTTGGGTCACGGCGGACAACAAACGGACGCGCGCTCGTCCGCGTCGGGGCCGCGTGGCAGGCGGCCACCCACTTCTCACCCACCCACATCAATGCGCACGAGCGGACGGCCCCACCTGTCATCCGCACGTCGAGCGGTCGCCGTCCTTCTTTAAGTGGAAAGCGTGGACGGGTCGTCGTCCACACTGCCCCACGCCACCCAGCGGCCTTCTCGAGCCCCGACAGCGCAGAAACCCTAGCCCGACTCCTCCTCGAGCTCGCCGGCCGCCCACCTCGCCATGGGCTTCTGGAACGGCAAGGGCAAGCCCGACCGCGAGGCCGGCTCCGTGAAGAAGGAGGAGCCCGCGTCTCCGCCGCGCTCCTCCCGTCGGGCCCCCGCGCCACCGCCGCACTCCTCCCATCGAGCCCTCGCGCCGGCCCCCTTCACCATTGCCCCTAGGCCCTCCGGCGAGCGCGACCGGCAGTACATCTGCGCGGACGTGTGCCGGAGGTACTGGGAGACGAGGACGCCGGTCCCGTGGAGCGATGCCCACCTCCCCAACGGGTGGCACCTCTCCGCGGACCGGGTCCCCATCCCGCCAGTGCCGGCGACCGGCCGTGCACGGCGATGAGATCAACCGCCGCCTCCTCCTCCCCGACGACCTGTACTACGACCACAGGTATGCCCTCGACTCGCCGCTCTGGGACACATGGCTCTAGGACGAGCACGACGTGCGGCGCGCGTCCTACTTCGCCGGCACCGTGTCGGGGCCGCGGAGGCCACGTGCAGAGCCGCGCGACGTACGCGGGTGCGTGGCCTGACGCCCACGCCGTCGCCTTCCCCGTCTCCGTCGCCCCCTCCCCCTCCTCGCATGACAGCGAAGGAGGAGGCTTGTCTCCTGCAGCGTGTCATGGATGACTCCATGAACACGCACGACGAGCGGCAGTGGGACGGCCTGGAGGAGGCTGTGGCCCTCTCTGCCGCCGGGGACGTCGCCTTCCCGGAGCTGCAGCTGGCGGCCGTCACGGCAGCCGCCAAGGAGGAGCCGATGGAGGAGGACTCGCCCGCGTTCGAGAAGCTCCTGGGCCAGGGGTGGGGCTGGTCGTGCACTGCACCGGAGATGGCCGCCGACCTGGGCATGAACTGGTGCCCCATTCCGGAGCGGGAGGCCTCGCCACGGGAGGAGGTGGTGCAGGCAGCTCCGGCCGTCCAGCCCGC